CCTCGAAGAAAAGATCACAGCTGGAGCTAGTTACCTCGACTGCTTCCGAGGCACGGACTTGCGCCGCACGGAAATCGTGTGCATGGCCTGGGCTATTCAGAACCTTTCCGGCAACGCCTTTTCCGGGTATTCGACCTACTTCCTCCAACAGGCCGGCCTCGACCCAGCAAGGTCGTATGACTTCGCAATAGCTCAGTACGGTATCAATATGGGTGGTGTTTTCGGTGCCTGGTTCCTTATGACCTGTGGCTTGGGTCGACGAACATTATATCTCGGCGGTTTGTGCGGCTTATGCGCCATGCTCTTCATCATGGGCTTCCTCGGCCTAGTCCCCGAGGAACATCGTCAACAGGCCGCACTTGCAACCGGCGCCATAATGCTCGTGTGGGCGCTCTTCTACCAGCTCACTGTCGGCACGGTATGCTTCTCTCTCGTAGCCGAGCTCTCAACCCGACGCCTACAGATCAAGACCGTGGTGCTCGGCCGCAATCTCTACAACGTCGTCGGCATCATCTGCTCGGTCCTCTCCCCTTACATGCTTAACCCCGGCGCCTGGAACTGGAGCAATTACACCGGGTTCTTCTGGGCGGGGATCTGCTTCTGCTGTATCATATACACGTACTTCCGGCTCCCGGAGCCCAAGGGACGGAGTTTCGCGGAGCTGGATCTCCTGTTCGAGAAGGGTGTTAGTGCGCGCAAGTTTGCGAGTACGGATGTCAATGTGTTCGCGGAGCGCGTTGAGGATACAACGGCATTCCAGAGATATGAGGAGGCGGTCGAATATGGGGAACAGAGGAGGGAGCGGTTTAGTGGGAAGGTATGATGGGTGGGATGATGCGAGAGTAACATTTTGATTGCGTAGTGTTAATGAGAGTTTGATAGCTTGATTTGAAGCTTTCCAATGTATCCTGGGCACGCTATGTAGCGTAGATCCTATTTCACTTCGATAGCTGCATCATCACATCTTCAATTGGAAGGTGATCTCATGTTCCACTACGCCTTTATCACTATGTCAGCGAGCCTATACCTACCAAGAGAAAAAATTACAATTGCGGATATAGGCAAGTGGATGTCTTATTTCTAAGGATTTGTGACTGATCTTGAGAGGTATTATGAAATCAAATGCCTTTCCAAGGGTTTCGTTGAGAATAAAGTCAAGCAAAATCTGACGTTGAAATGCTTTTCTAAGTACCCTTCCGACTAGCTGCTTCCTCCTTTAAATACCGTATGTTAGGGGCAATGAGCTGATCGTATAGTTGGATGACGGCAAATCTGCAGTAATGCTGAACCCCAAGATGGATATATTCATGGAAATGGAGACACTGACGATTTCACGCGTGTTCCGTGTTCCGAGGGAGGAGAGGGCGGAAGTGGATCAGATTCAACAGAGTTTGATATCAAAATGAAGTTAGTGACACAAAAGGAGGTTTAACGAGGTGAGAAGGGCTGGGCCTGGACTAGAAGTGCTATTGTGGTATGATCATGCATGATATTCTTCAGGCAATGGCGTCATTTGCTTCTATTCCCCTATTCTTAGCTCGCTTCATAGTGTGCCACCGTACAACCCAATTTATCGCTCAATTCCACCAGTCCCATCCGTTTTCTAGGGCAATATGATAATGTTGGCATCAGCGTTCTATAGCTGATCATACCTCCCGAATCCCAGCGAGATTCTCTATAATGAGCGATCGAATACTGTATCCTTTCATCAGATACTAGACTGCCTCTGGGCAAAGCGTTCAGCCCCACCGTTGTCAAATGACTAAGCTCTCAGCCACAGCTTTTATCTTGGGACCTTCTGGTACCGATCGAACACGTTCCATTTCGAAGTGACGATTCAATAAAATTGGCGGCGCGAGTCTATCAATAAAAGTTAAAAGAGGCTTGCTCAGAGTGGCTGTTGAAATTAGCTCCAAATGGGAAGATTCACGGAATCCAAGAATCTGTTCCAAGATGTTTCGGCAACTATAGAGGGAAGATCAATTAGTGTTGGGCGTCATGTGGGGCTCCCCAATTGCAGGGTGACCCTTAATGCCAGCATTTGGTGGAAGCGATCATGGATACCACCCGATTCCGTAGATCCTCTAGTGTGAAAGACTCATAAAGGTTGCCTGAGTTTAGTATAGAACCGGATTCACTTAGAAGCCGACATGGGCGACAGCTGGAAGTAGGACCGTGTAGGGAGTTCTGTGCTGCTCACCTTGACTTGAGATCCCCACTCTGCAGCGCGTCATCATCAGGTAGTACATTTTATTGGCTGATAGATCATTAGTAGATTGCCGAGTTATCACTTGGCTATTCCCGAATTTCGGGTTGGATATGTTGAGCCCGGTTATGTGGAGAAAATGGCACAGTAGCCCTGTGTAGCAGAGCCCTAATAGGCCTAATGCATGCAGTAATTATATCCCAATCAACACACCTTCGGACTGCACCTCGGAAGAATATGTGAACATAGAAAGGCTTCGGTTTAATACGCGGCGTGTTTTATTCAAGGAGACGGAGTTATTGCCGATTTTCAAAGCATAGTTTCGGCCGCCACTGCATGATCTAGGCGGCACACTTGGAATGTGGCAGCGCTAGCTACGGGGCTTTGCCAACGCCTGAGTCAAGCACGACCATAGCAAAACTCTAAAATCCGTTCTCTTCCGAAGCTCCCCGTGAGACCGATGCCTTCGCTTGCGACGGATATCGCACCATCGTTGCGTCGATGATTTAAAGTTTGATCATTATCTTTGCACAACCAATATCATTGCTTCTCTTCAAGAGGACCCAGATCAAGAGGACAAGATCAAGAGGGCATTCCTTTATGTGACCGCGCATTATTTAATCAAAATTAGCCTAGAAATCCTCATTTTTACCCTGGGGCCAGGATCTGCGTGTAAGGATGAATCATGGTGGAGGGTCGACGGCTAGAACCAGACCGTCCATCCTAGTCGAATTTGGAACCACATCTGAACCTTGGTTCCATTACTACGCGAATCAGATATAGGAATATACCAAGAAATCGGATCTTACGGTGGCTTTAGGTGGCAAAAGTATGGGGCTCTCAAACTTTCTAGATGCACGAGGTAGGGATAGTAGTACCTACGTAACTGGCACAAAAGTCCGGGCATCCCCTGCTGTATGTAAGGAACGCTCCATCCAGCTGGGTCCAGTTTCGCTACTTTACATCCTTGTTTTCTTTTTTCTATCTGCTTACCCCTTGTCTTGGGATAGTAAATATGGCGACTGCTGTACCAAATCCGGATTTGATACCGGCGATTCCATCGAGCACCGCGCAACAGAGAGCCCGTTCGTTCGCCGGGGCTGCTATTGCGCTCAACATCGTCGCATTCGGAGTCTTCAGCGGGAGAATGTGGACAAGATCATTTCCGGCCTTTCGATTAGGACCGGACGACTATTTCATTGCGGTCGCATATGTTGGTCTAGCTTCCTCATGTCAAAGATGATATTCTCACCATTCATCGTAGGTCTTGGTTCTTACGGATTCCATCCTTCTTCTTAAAACCGTACCCTTCGTTTTTGGCAGTGACCCAAACAAGGTTACTCTAGCCGACGCAATCCATTCGAATTACCTTGCGGTGGTGGCTCAGCCAATATGGGCCTGGTCAATGGCCTGCATCAAGATCTCTGTTGCGCTTATGCTCCTACGTCTTGAGACCGAAAAACTATGGCGTCGTCTCCTTTGGGCCAACATTGTGGTGCAGCTTCTCCTTGGAACATATAATACCCTCTCGCAGCTCCTTCAATGCATCCCACTAAAAGGGGCTTGGGACTTGCTAGGAGTCGTTGATGCCAAATGCTGGAGCAAAACCGCAATTCGGGACAACCTTATTTGCATCTCAGTAGTTAACATTATCACCGATTTCATCTTCGCACTCATCCCAATCTCCTTCCTGCGTAAAGTGCAACGCCCTCTCCGCGAACGAGTAATTATCGGGATTCTAATGGCTCTTGGACTTTTCGCAGGCGCAGCTTCGATCGTCAAGCTTGTGAAAGCTCTCCAGTTCGGGCGTACAGACGATCCTACTCTTGAAGGTATCGAGATTGGCATGTGGTCATGCATCGAGGAACAAGTCGGCTTCATCGCGGCGTGTGTCCCGTGCCTACGCTCTCCTTTCCAGCGCGTCCTTGAATATTTCGGCCTCGTATCTACCCACGATAAATCATCATATGGCCATAACTATGGGCAGATGTACGGCTCTAAGCACGCACGTAGCCGCAAATCAGCTTTTGGAGTGAGCCAGAGCAGGATCAGGATGAAGAGCCTGCGCAGTCCCAGTGCGGATGCACATTCTGAGGAAAATATCTTGGCTTCAAGTGGGGCGGTGGCTAAGAATGGAGAGATTTGGTGCACGACAGAATTGCGCCTGGAGGATGAGGAGGTGAATAAGCCGGAAGGTTCTAGCATTAAGCTGGATGGGGCCTAACAAGCAGATATGAATTAAGCATATTAAAGGGGGAAATGAAAAATATAACGAGGCATTCAATTCCTGTTAATCTGAGTCTGTAATGCCCAGAAAATGTGCAATGGCACGACTTGATCTCGTAATCCGTGTTTATTTGCAAACGACGCAAATCAGCATCCTGAGGTGTATCGGAGGCCTAGAACTCCTCCTATTGCTTCATGATTCAGGATCCATAGAGGACATTTAGAGCAGGCCGACTTTTTTTACAATAAGTACCTTCATGAGTGATCGCAGATGCACGCAATAGTTCTCCTTACTGAGCTATACTGTCAGCATCTGCCCTGAAAGATTTATCGGTCACCTTAAGACCTTATTTATTCCGTTCTTAACCTTGTCAAGGTTCACGTAGAGCAGTAGATCAATTAATAAGAGAGAAGTGAGCAAGTTCTTCCCCCAATCGGACATAGGTGCGTAAGACAGTCTCGCCACACTTCCAAAAGACTGTCGTCCTTGAAATGTACTCGATCCTTTTATTGATTATCGCATATGCACAGGGATTGAACCAAAAAAAAATCCTAAAAAAGAATTATGTTGACAAGAGTGGGATTCGAACCCACGCGGGCAAAGCCCATGAGAACACGCGCCTTATTCAAGGGCAAGCTTTCGCTTGAGTCACACGCCATAACCACTATTCATCTATTAGTAGGATATCCTGACATTGTCAAGCACATCGAAGCTCACCTCGGCCATCTTGTCGAATTTGTTAGGGAATATTTGTAGTTTATCATTATTAAGTAGTCAACTATCTAGGATTTCAAGGCAACTCGTTGAGTCAGAAAACTCGGCCTCGTGTAGCGGCCAATGAAAATGGTTCGATGGCCATGCCAAACCTAAAAATACCGAACCCAAGACTCCGGAAGACCACGAATATTTTCTCCGGGATCATCGACTTGCTCATCACATCGACGCAGAGCGCTTCCCTCCCACTTTAATCACAAGATTTAGGCAGGGCCATTAGTTCGCATATGGGTAACCGTACCGCTGTTGGTTACTGATCAAGAATAACTGCAATTGATACAATTCCTGGTAGTAGGTTATCGAATCTGTCAGCGATTCCGCTAAAATTGTGGTAGTCGTATTGGCATTTTCGATTTCGGGCAATGGATATATAAATAAGAATTTGAGTGGATTGTGCAACTACTACATACGGACGGGTAGGAATTCTCTGTATTTTTCAAGCCGCAACTTCATTCCCCGGGCAATGCGAAATATATTGTAGCAATACTATGCTATGTGGCAAGGCTCTTTTCCACAAGCCCTTCAAGAGTTAAACTCTTATTTTCCTTTTGGCAAATCCGATGCCCAAGGATAGGCTTCTGGCATCGCTTTCCAACTTCCTAGATCATCGTAATTTCTCGTCGTGCTCTTCCCTTGCAAGATTTTCTGTACGAATGGTAGTACGTCCGTAAACCCATTCATATCACAGTGGCCACCACTCGGTATCGACATACCTAGCTGATCACCTACGCCAAGCCAATTGTAAACTGCCTTTGCAGCAGGGAAGGTCACAGTGGCTGTCCCCTTCGAGTCGGTGAACTGATCACTTGCATTTTGCTCAAGGATCACGGCACGAGGAGCGATGGCGGCGACTATAGTGTGCGCGTCGTACGGTAGTTGAGTTGACTTTCCGACAAATTGAGAGATTCCAGATGATGTCCACCAGCCGGCACCCGATTTCTACCCTACGTCAATCTCCAGTTCTGCATTATGCTTAGCGAGCTCACGCTAAACTACTCACCGAGTTCTCCAAGTTCTCTCCCTGTCCACTAAGACTGTATCTGTACGGGCCCGCACCTTGGACTCCGGAGCACATGGGCATAGTAACAGCAATGCGCGTGTCGAATAGCCCTGCTGCTAAAGCAGCCTTGCCGAGACGAGAACAACCTGTTACGCCAGACTTCTTCGCATCGATTTCTGGGACTTTGAGCTCAATACCATCCAGGACACGATGAAAGCCCCATGCCCAAGCTGTAAGCACGCCTACAATCTATATTAGCCCAAGACACATCAAAAGAGGTTAACAATGGCTTTACCAATATCCCTCCCGTTATACAGTGTCCAGAAGCTTCCAGATTTGCTATTACTATCCGCCGCGACCCTCGAGTAATCGAATGTTACAACCGCAATGCCCGCGTTAGTATAAGTTCTGCTATCTAAATAACCAATTGCGATCACGACCGGAAACGGCCCACTGCCGCTCGGCAAGTTCAGTGTAGCTGAAATCGATGCGCTCTTCCCTCCCGCTGCGACCGTGACGGTCAATGTATTTCCACTTCGAGTTGCTGTCACTGTCTCTTGGGAATGGTCGGGATAGTAGCCGTATTGGTATTCCTGGAGGAGCTTTAGGATCTCTGGTTGTCGGCATTGGTACCATTCGTCTTTGCTCTGGACTCGCGTCTTGCCGTCGAGGTAAAGGAAGGGATCGGGCATTGTCTTTACGGAAGGGAATGCCGCCGCCTTGGGCATCGGATCTGGGGTGGCGGGACATGTTATGTTTCCTGAGCCCTGTCGTGGAAGGAGGTCTATTAGATCGTAGATGTCGGCTCCGGTTGGCACACCATAGATGGTGGCCGGCAAGGCAAAGAGCGCGAAAAGTTTAGTACGCATGGCTGGGAACTCTCACACTGTCAATGACAAGGCGGAAAGCAAAGGTGCTATACAAAGAATCGGAGGCCACGTCCTTGAGCTTACCATGCACTCATAAAAAGACTATAGGAAAAGGTCATTCTTTCTAGGGCCACTATGGATGTCATTCGGTTAGTTCAATCTACCGTATATGAAGGTTCGTTCTGATGCTCATATATGAGATCAATTCCGGTAGGGTTATGCCAGTCGCGTGGTGTGTAAGGAACCGAGCCAAGGCCGGCTTTTACTTGATCCTTTTGGCCGTTGCCATTTGCAATGAACTACTTTAAGCTTGAAGGTAATTTGTTCATCACTACTCGATAGTAATATTTTCTAAGCCGTAAGGAGCGGTTGGGGGACATTCAAGAGCCTACGGTATGCTCTTCAGAAATGGAATTCACGGTTGAAGCTTTGTTCCTTCTTGGAAGTTGCAACTTCCAGCCAAGATAGTTACCCCATGGGGACATTATCCCTACGTCGATCTCTAACTTCTGGCTGATGTTGTCTAGTTCGGGGGGAGAGCTTCATATACTCGGCTAATGTCGGTGTGCCTTGTCCCGAAGAGATGCGACTGAACAAGCGCTCGGAAGAAGCGAGGGAGGGGGCTATGATTAGACTTAGGCTCGGCTGGAATGAGATTTAGTTGTGGGATAAATTCAAGGTTGCCCGCGAAATGGGCCTCTTCGTGGTGGGTCACGTGGATAGCAAACTTCCGCGGTCGTCGCGTAGATACCTGAGTAGAGTCATAAAATCCATAGTCACAGTGCTGATCTGATATATGGCTGGATATTCAGGAGACGTATTCCTTTGGCTCACAGGATATCCATGAATTAAGGCCGTAGCCCAACGCAGTTAGATGCCGAGGTCCCTCCGAAAACGGAGAAGGTCGCACGTTTGGCCCCAAGAGATCGCCAGCTTAGTTGTGTCGTCATGTTGCTCTGATTGTTGCAATTGAGCTTCGTCGAACACGATGCTGCTCGTCGTTGGGTTTCTTTGGATTACCCTGGCTCATGCGAGTTGTTACGGTCGCTCTCCTGCACATCCGTTGCCCGAATACCGTCGCGACGATGCTCTCCTGAAGCGCACTTTCCAATCCATCGATGCCACAATTGATACTGCAGTTGCTGCCTCCGCATTTGATAGGACTTCTTTTTCAATCGAAGTCACCTCGTCCAAAGAGTCGCTGTGGTCGCGCCATCATACAGCGCGGGAACGCAACGCGTCGCGACCGGATATCCCTATCGTCAATGGCGACGCCCTCTATCGAATCGCAAGTATCACAAAGGTATTTACGACACTGGGTATATTGTACCAGCATGCAGCGGGTAACCTGAGCCTGGACGATCCGGTTACCAAATATGTTGAAGAACTGGAGGCCAAGCAGAAAGGGACGATCCCATGGAAGAACATTACGCTGCGGTCCCTTGCAAGCCAGTTGAGCGGGATACCGCGCGACTTCGCCCAGGGAGACCTCATCAACCAGCTCTCCGAATTCCCCTACACTCCCGTTGATCTGGGCTTCCCCCCTGTATCACGGGAAGGCCTGCCGGAGTGCGACGAGTATGCTCCGAATTATATACCACCATGCGATGAACATGGTATGAAGGCAAATTGCAAGGACATATCGACAGCTAACAATATTTCTGTAGATCTCCTCAGAGCGCTCAAATCGAAAGCACCTATATTCGCCCCGAATCAGAAGTCCACTTACTCCAACCTGGCTTTCGAGATACTTGGTGTGGTGATTGAGAACGTCACCGGCCAGTCTTACGAGTCATATATCAATGATGCTATTTTCAGGCCGCTGGGCATGACGAAGAGCACTTTTTCGAAGCCCCCCGACAGCGCTGGCGTAATTCCCTTGGGACCTCAATACTGGGATGTGGATGAGGGATGTCAGAATCCAACAGGGGGGATATACAGTTCTTCCGTGGATTTGTCCAAGTTCTTGCGATACGTCCTGGCGAATTATAATGGTATCACTCACGCTCTGAATTGGGCTAACCCTGTGTCCCCTAGTGTGGGCATTTATTCGCTCTACGGAATGCCGTGGGAGATTATGCATACTGATAAGATTCTCCCTGATTCTGGGCGTATGGTCCGATTTATCACCAAGGGTGGGGGCCTTCCCGGGTATACGTCAATCATTGTGTTTGTCCCTGAGTACGACCTTGGGATCACTATTCTTGTTGCAGGAGATAATGAGCCTGACTTAATGGGAAAATTACGCGAGATTGTAACGATACGGCTTGTGCGTGCGGCCGATGAAATTGCTCTCCAGCAACTTCGGGAACGCTATTCTGGGACCTTTGTCTCGCCAGAATCGAACGTCAACTCTACTCTTTCTCTACAAGTTGACCACCGCGGCCTCATAATTACTGCATTTGTCTCAAATTCTACGGATGTGTGCTCTGTTTTTAGTGAATTTTTGATCCGTCCAGATCGTCCATGGTATGTTCAGATGATTCCCACGATGCTTTACCGAGATGAAAAGGAGCAAAAGGGTGAGCGTTGGCGGTTCATATTCGCAGAAGAACGGATTGGTAAGAATCAGGATGTCTGGGATGACTTCTGCTTGGAGAACGTCGACGGAGTCAGATATGCCGACTTAGCTATATTCGAAGCCGTCTTTTGGGATGGGCCCGGCAAATCGGTGGACACTATCGAACTCACAGGGTTTCGAGCAAAGCTCGTTCGTGATAAGCAGAGTGGTTTTCAGGCTGGTTACGAAGAACAGGATGTAATGGAACTGTAGCGATACTGGATAGTTCTATTTACTTTAAAACGATTACAGCGTAAGCCTAACGCAAGCCATAAAAGTGTTTTTGGGCCTAAACATTAAGCAGCAGTAGGTCTATTTTCTTTCTATCTAATTCATGGTCCCTGTGGAACTCCCCAGAAACTCGTTTCAGTTCAGAGTATATTCAATCATACTCGTGACATTATGCAAAGTCATAGGTTGACTGGTGTATAAAAAAAAAAAAAAAAAACTGTATCAAGATACCTTAGGATTGTTT